CCCCCCCCCCCACTCCTCCTTAAAATTCGGTCCGCGCGGTCCTACATCAAAGCTATGCGGTCTCGGAGAGGATCCCGCAACAAGTCCCCGTCCATGTTCGTGCTCCGTTGCCGCCCGGTCGCGCCGTTCCCCACAATGTCCAAGTCTACTCTAGGCCGAACGCTCTTCGCATCGACCTCCCCTAGAAGGTTCTCGTCGAAGTCGATCCCCGCGTCCAGAGGATGTTGTGGAGAGTGCACACGGCCACGAAGTGATGTGGCAAGGTCTCCAGGTTCGTCTTGTGGGCGCGCAAGAACAGACGCCACGTGCACTTCAGTCGCCCGAACGCCCTCTCCACACACCCCCAGGCCACCTTCTGCCGCGTGTCGAAACGCTCCTCGTCAGGACGTTGATCGATTACTCCATACCACTGGACGATCCATGGACACCCAACTGGATAACCGTTGTCGCCCAGCAGGTAACCTCGCGCGATGACACCTTGCGGCAGATTCTCCGGAGGTGCGTCAAACAACTCGCCACTTTCTTCACGCCTCCACAGATGGGAATTGTACAGGACACGGACGTCGTGCACAGTTCCCGGGTATCCCACGTGGACGTCAAGGATAAGCAGATCCAAATCCACCACCACCTGCACTTGGACGAAGAACTTCTGTTTCCGGTCGTAGTAGTTGTCCGAAGGTGCGCCGGTGGGCTTGTCAATGTAGATGTGTGTACAGTCGATTGCACCGAAGCAGTTTGGGAAACCCTTCTCACGGAAAGCGCGCAGAATCTGCGCACGTCTCCGGCCCACTGGCCAATTGATCGCGTCGGGTTACGCCTTGAGCAGCGCTGAAGTGACGCCGTGGACGGCCTGCAGTCCAGTTGCCCTGCCGATGCCGAAGGCTGACGTGCCACTATCGTAAGTCTCTCCGGATGCCCACCTGTACAACGCAAAGCGATCACCTGCTCCACTGGCAATGGCATCCTGTAGTGTGTCACCTTCTTCTCCACGTACGCGGCACACAAGGCTACGATCTGGGTGAACATGGCCCTCGAGATGCGCAACTTCTGGCGGTAGTAGTCCTCAGCGGCGTCATCACGAAGCTGGAGGCCTTCCCATGTTCCGCCAGTCCGTCGTTTAATCCACCAACGCGAGGTCTGCCGCGGGAAAACGCCAGACGACAGCGCGGAACACAACTGCACGACAACTTCACACGTTGCCAAGCAATCCGGCGCTTCGACAACGCTCTGCAACAGCGCTCTTCGTTTACGGAGCTGCAAACGCATGTCGCAGGAGGAGGACAACATGTCGCTCATCGTGTTCAGGAGGACGACACTCACTGCCATCGCCACCTCGTTGATCTCTTCTTCACGTAGACCGTGCCCGCAGCCGCGAACGTACATCTCTGATAATCGTTCCGCCTCTACAGTGTAAAACCTGCCACAGCCGCCGAAGATGCGCCCCCTGCTCAACCCTGCCGCAGGAGACCACGCACGCCGGAGCCAAATATGCGCCCGCTGCTCTACGCTGCCACTGTAGAGTACGCAAGCCGGAACCGAAGATGCGCCCGCTGCTCTACGCTTCCACAGGAGAGTACGCACCCCGGAGGTGAAGATGTGCCGCCGCCGAAGATGCGCCCGCTGGTCACAACTCGCGCAAACTCAGAAGATGGATACCCACGCCGAAGGGTTCACCAGCGCCGTCTTTTCTACGTCACACGCGTCGCCTGGCCGTACTCCGCCCCGCCACCCTGCGTTCGCAAAAATTCTAATTCGAATTTTCAAACTTCCGGCTAACAACGCTTTTCACCGACCCGTCCTCACCCGCCGATGGTCCACCGCAGTGTGTACCACCGACACCAGCCAGGAATGGACAGATATTGGCGACGCGGCTGCGTATACGCATATGAACCAGCCGCGGGAGACCTTTTAGGACGAATGCTAGAAGATGATTTTTAGGATTGTGTGTAACGAAGCGGCTAGAAATCCTAAAAATCCTTTAGGAATCGTCCTAAAAATTTAAGGATTCTTTTAGGAGTGTCTAACGAGACCCAAATACATCTTGCCGCCCACACACGAGGACACACAGATGTCGGCAGCCACATGCCCGTCGGTCCGTTCCTGGCTGTCGATGCCGTGTGAACATGGACAAATAAGCTCCTCATCCCACCCTACTTACGGTAAGTAAAATATCCTTTTTCGGCGTATCCCACCTTGTTCCTTGAACACCGGGGCTCGGATGTGAACGGAGGGATGTGAAAACGGTTTAGGACGTGGCGTTCGTGGAGTGAACGTCGGGAGGTCCGTTTTGCCGTTTTCGGAAAAGGAACGGGCCTGTACCCTGTTCCCAAAAGGATGGCGCCGTTTTTGGAAAAGGAACGGGCCTGTACCCTGTTCCCAAAAGGATGGCATGTTTTTTATGTTTTCTTTTTTCTTATCTCTTTTGCCCGTTACCTGGCCATGTTCGTCCAACAAAGGCCGCAGCCACGCCCACATAATATCTCCTGCAATAACGGGACGGTGGAGTACAAATTTTCTTTCACGGTCCGAATGCTGCAGCCCCTCCTTTTTCGTTTCTTTTTGACTTCTACTTACCGTAAGTAGGGTGGGATGAGGCCCTAAGAAGCACTCTGAGGGACACAAACACAAACTCCTCTACCTGCCATTGGCCGCTGCTTGTAGGTAGGTCTCTTTTTTTTTTTTTTTTTTTTTTTGGAAAGTTGCAAACTTTTATTACAAGACGCAATGGGACGAGGTCCGGGACATCACAATTCTACCCGGAGTTATCCTGGCAGCATCAGCCAGTTTCGCTTACGAGCCCAGCTCGCACTGAACCCAACTGTAACTATTTCTGTCATTACCAAGGCACCTGCTGAAAACCGGGTCCAGCGTCCCTTGCTGCCTCAAGAACTTTCCAAAATAATTAAACCTTAAAGCGCACGTAAAAAGGCTGCCTGAGCATTCCATGTAGAACAAGAGGCTTACTATCTTCCTCTAATCACTTCAGAACAGTGCATAGATCCTTCTACTAAGCATCATAAGAGCTGGAAACCGGGTCCAGCGTCCCATTTAAGCTCACAATGCTCCTTTATTTCTCTAAAAAAACTCAAAACAGGGCGAAAGCGCCCTACTGTTCCTAAAGAATGAACCGAAATGATTACAGTCTATCCTGGCTAAACTTCCCTTCACGCTCAGCCTTACGAGGCTATATTCACCTCAACCACTGTGCTATAGTCATTGTTGTCTCATCTGAGACTGCAGCAAAGTAGCCTTTCAAACCCCACTTTCTTCCAAACTGAACAAAACTGGACCTTTTCCAATCTGCTAATATTGCCAAACGAATGTCTTGTTGCAGGTCTGTTGAAACAGAATTGTATTCTTCTTGAAAACTTTGGCATTCCTCATTTCCCACAGGGCTTCCAGGATGATACCTCTGCAGATTAAGGCAACATACCACTCCCCTGGTTCGAAGCTGCCTCCCTTTGGGATCTTCCCATATAAAATAAAGGAATCAGCCCAGTCCTCTGTGGCTGCTTCCCATTTCTTCCATTTCTCTTTCCACCATTCCCACACCCTGTGTGAGTAAGGGCAGTATAGCCATAAGTGTGCTGTGTTTTCCCAGGCCCACTCACATCTCATGCAGGTTGTTGGTATGTCCATCCCCTTCGTGTTTAGCCACGTGGCCGTGGGTGTCACCTGCAGTGATTGAAGCCAAAGAATAGCCGCTTGTTTCTGCGATGGCATCATCTTCAGGGCTTTCCATAGCTTGTACAGGTCTCGGTCCTGCACCCTGATGACCTGTAGATCTATTAATCTACTTTGGGCTGTGGCAACTGGTTTCTTCCTCACTCTTGCTCGCCCAAGTATAGCTCCTATGTTAGTTTTATAGGCTAACAGGGGACATTGGTCCTGGTATGGCATGTCCCAGCCTGTTAGCAGTGGTTCTACTCTTATTGGGTCCTCTTCCAATCTTATGACCCGATATGTGGTGTTAGAACCCTTGTGCGGTTCCCATACTCTCTTTTCCCTGGCCTCTACCATTGATGGAACTGTGCTTTCTTCAATATATGTCAGATTACTGCTTCTCTTATTGCTTATTCTCCAACTCTGGACTTTTACCCCCGAGCTAGGGTCTGGCCCTGTGACCTTCCAGAAAATCCTTTCATCCGTTTCGGACTGTAGCCAGACCCCGGGGCCAAATTCTGTATCTTTTTGGAGAGATGTCAGCCACTTCAATGGCGTAGCGTCCTTTACCTTCTGAAGATTGGCCTCCAGATTCCGCATCCTGGGGAGTTTTACTCTGAGTTGCTGTACTGATA